TTTGATGCCAAAGAACGTGAGGAAGACCAAAACTAATTCATTCCTACCCATGTGCATCAGAAAATACCTGAAGTGTTGGTACAAAAGGGATTTTTAGAGCCATTTCTTTGCCTGCTATTTACACTTTGGCAAACACAGCTTTCCCAGTGGCAGTGTGTTTGTATTCCATGGCAGTCTCAGCCTGGGAATCCTTCCTTTGACAGGATCTGGAAGCCCATCACAGCTCCCTGTTCTCTCCAGCCACCATCCTCCCACCACAAATTTCCATTTATTATAAAGCAGAGCTCAGCTCTCGAGGGCTTTTTGTGGTTAATTGGTGCTCTGGGCTCTGCTGGCACAGTGAGGGCATTTTCTATTCTCCAGAGTGGTCAGGGCTGAGCTGACCACAACCAGAGGGAAATTCCTGAATATGATCCATTCCCAACATCTGAACACATTTGGAGCTCCAGATGTCCTCATCTACCCTGGTCCTCCAGAGACAAGAGCTTACAACGACAGCCCAGTGCTCACACAGGATCTGGGCTGCTGGATTTTGGACTTTTTTATACTTGGGCACCACACAACCATATCCAAACCCCACATATTTTTGTCTTTTGCCAGAGAGGTGCAAATTCTCTGCTTTTTCTCTCTGTTCTGAGATCAGCTTCTCTATCAAAGCATCTCTTTGACAAGAGGTTTTCTGGCTGTTCCCAGCAGATCAGCTGATTTCTTTGTTTCACCAGTGAGTGCCAGAGCTGTTACCTTGGAGGTCTGTTTGTTCCTGTTCCTGGATGTGTTCCTGATCACCTGGTCAGGGACACAGGATTTGCCTTTTCCAGTCTCTGTCTTGCCCCACTGATTTATTAAAGCAGATCTGGATGAGAACAATTCCTTAATGGAAAGGATTGTCCAGCTGCCCTGGGCAGTGCTGGAGTCTGCATCCCTGCAGGGATTTAAAATCCATGTGGATGTGGCATTTGGGACATGGGCCAGTGGTGGCCTTGGCAGTGCTGGGGGTGGTTGGACCTGATGATCTCAGAGGTTTTTCCACCCTCAGTGATTCTCTGATTCCTCAGGGTTAATAAATTTCCTTACCAGCTTTAAGAAGGAACCTGTTTATCATGCCAGTCCTGAATGAAAGGGAGGTTCAGGTCCTACTGACAGATTTCCCTATTACCCTTAAGGAAAAGATTTATCCCCTGGAGCTGCCCTAAAAACTATCCCTAAACTGGCAGGTTTTGCAGAGAGAATGGCTTTGAGACACCTCACAGAAGAGCTGTAGACAAAACCATTTTCCTGAGAAAATCCAGTTGCTCTGAAGATGTTCAGAACACGTTCTGTAGGAATTGTTCCTTCTCCCAGTTGAGTTTAATCACAGATACATTGTGGAGTTTTTAAAGAGCCAAGCAGAGATTGTTTTTTAGTCAGTAAATCTTTTATTTTTTTCAAAGACAAGACTGTTAAGCTCAATCATCCACCCACAAGTTTAGTAAACTGAATTTCTTGCCCTGTTTTCTACTTGTTGAGTTGTGAATCTCAGCACTTCAGACTTGCCAGAGGGTTTAAAAAAATCAATGATGGACCCCTGAGATGTTTGTTCATGTGAAGTTCACTGAAAATAACAACAGCAACAGTGGCACTGGGCCATGTCTGTACACATGGAATTTATTCTGTTATCTCATAGTCTTAGGGGTTTAGGTGGTGTATTAGCCCCACATTGCAGGGGATTTAGATACAAAAGAATTTAAACAACAAGTGAAAATACAGGAAAATTTGGGTTAGATCATTGGTCACATTAAAGCCACACTTTGGGGAAATATTTGCACTGTCTGCTCCTTAGGTGTGGTTTTTACAGACCAAGCCAACATTTCTCTGTTTTGGTTTTGTTGTTTTTTTTTTTTTTTCCTCTAGAAATGTATTTTTAATTTAGAGCCAGTTCTCCTCTCAACTTTCTCTTCAATAAATTAATCAAGCTGACTGACTCCCTGGTACTGTGTCATGGTGGCACATGCAGATATTAAATAATCTGATTTTTTTCCCTGAGAGCCTTGCATGTGAGCTCATACCAAAGTTATACTCCTAAATTCGTGCTGGAAAGCAGCACCCTCTGTAGTGATCCTCCATTTAGACAGATTTTTGTAATCTCCTCCCTAGCTGGTTGTTAAACAGTTTGTTAAGCAATAAATAGATTTGTAGAATGTTAAATGCTTAAGCTCAAACATCAATCAGCATTAACATATCCTGGCAAAACTAAAGCTTTCCTGGCCTGTCCTCATTTTATTCCAAAATGGCTTTACCAGAGCTCCCTGCCACCCTGGAAGAACTTCCAAAGGAATGAGCAAAATATCCTCTGGTGGCACTTGGCACTATTAAGTATTGATGAAGAACACTGTTGTTTTTTAAATTGTAATAATACATTTTAACAGCTAAAAAATAACCCAAATCATCAGAAAACTCCATAAGATGTTCTGGAATCAGATTCTTTCATGTAACTGTTGGTCATCAAATGGAATTGTTGTCCTAATACATATTTAAAAATATTTTTGTGTCTTGTTGTTCATAAATATTTCAGGCAGTTTTTGTTTGTTTATTGTATTTCCCTATAAATCATTTTTTTGTTGCCTTGGGAGTCCAAGAGGGATAAATCCATGATTTAATGAGGAGTTGATGGCATCTTTTCCCTCCAGTACCACAGGCTCTTCCTCCACCCTCTGCCCTTTTCCAGGGGGGTATCAGGACATCCTTTTCCTTTTCCCTTTCATCTCCACAATCCTGAGAGTTGATGGGAATCCTCAGAGGGGCTTCTGCAGCCTGGTGCCAATCATGACACCAATCCTGATGATTTCCAATTTGGCTTGGATTGCAGCTTTTTGGGAGGACTCTGCTTAAAAAACTCCAACTTTTTCACTCCCCCAAGTTCATCCACACCACCAGACAAAGTCAAAATGAACATGTTTTTATTCCAGCAAAGCATAAAGTTGTGTTCTTGAACACAAAATTGGGAACAAGGGAGGCAAGGCAGTGATAACAAAGCTGCCAATGCAGCTGAAAAAGTGCATGTCCAAATAATTCTTGATGCTAAAAATTCTCGAGGCTGTTGTTTGACTTTAGGGAATGATCCACAACAAAGCTGGCTGGAGAGAATGGGAATGGGAATGGGA